ATATATATATATATATATATATATATATATAAATTTAATTATATATATATATATATATATAATTTGTATTTTCTTCTCATTAGTTTTAAACAATAAAATGCATCAAAACATAAAATCTGGACCTCATTACATTTTTAACATCACATATTCTGACCACAAATTTCCTAAAATATCCCTTTGATTTTATAGATTAAAAGTGATTTGTTACATTTGATACAGTGCATGCTGTATATCAATGGTCCAACCATGAATTTATAGTTGGTACACTTTTCTTCAGTCATTTTGTTGGGTCATGGCCTTTTTACTTGCAACTAAGAAACACTTTTAACAATAGTCTTGCTTTGTATACCTGTTCTTTCAAAATATATTTTGTTTCTTCTTAAAAACAGCTTCAAGTACATAATGGACATTTTAAAAACGTGACTACAGAGAGACTATGAAGGTAAATTAGACACAACAGTAGTCACACAACCATACAGCAAGCTTTGTATGTGTACAATACGTTCTACAATTGTACCACAAGCTTTACAAATGTGTACTACATGATTCACAAACGCTTAAACAGTTTTTTTTTAAAATTGCAAACATTTCAAACTGCACAAGAAGGAATATTCTGCGCATAAAAAACATCAAACACATGTGCACAAATCACCTGTTGCTATATTAAAACACATATGCTTGCATTAACGTTACTGGATTTCAAAAAGATTAATTTTGGGAACTGTACAGTTAAAATAAACCTAAAATGAGTGGGTAATTCTTGATGTGGAATATTTATCAGGAAATATAAAAAAGTGAAAATAAAAATATATATACAGTATATATATATATATATATATATATATATATGAATGTAGACCTCTGCATTTGTATTGTGTACTGTGTATATATATATATATATATATATATATATATATATATATATATACATATACATATATACACACACACACACACCTGTCTGCACAGCACTTTGGTTGGCCTTGTCGCTGTTTTAAGTGCTCTATAAATAAAAT